CTCTTGGCGGGATCCTGGGCCTGGGAGGCCTCTCCCTGACGAGGTCGTTCACTCCGGCGGGAGGGCTTGGTCTGCTTCGTGGCCGGGTGCCGAGGGGGAAGCGGCGGCTGGGCTTGAGGCAAGGAGGGAAACTGCTGCTGGTACTGGTATTGGGAGACCTGATGCAACACTTGTTGTTGGTAAAGTTTGAATTGCTGAAAATGTTTCATTTGAGCTTGCATAGCTCGCATGCATTGCATTAAGTCTTCCAACTGGTTCGGGTTGGCCACTGGGGGCACAACCGAAGGTTCAGCAAAGGTTGCTCCAATTGTGGAAGGGAGTGGAGCGATCGCGGGTGCCACTATAAGAGGCACATTCAAACTGGGAACTCCGTCCACGGAGAGGGGGGCAATGAATTGTCCAATACAGACAGTGGGAAGTTGAGGTTGCTCCCCAGAGGCATTCTGGCTGTCACCACGTCCGGCGTTGCTGGAAGAGGCCATGAATGCTGAGTTCTCAAAAGGAAATCGTAGAAGCTTAGAGGAAGGCTTTTTGAAGCGATTCCCACAGACGGCGCCAAATTATGTTGCACGATCCGGGCACTCCTAGCTGGCAATGGACGACACTTGAGAAGAAGACGGTGAAGAATTCCCGGGGGACTTGCCCGGTGGGAATACTCCGATGCTTAAGTTAGAACGCTGGAGAAAATAGTGAAGAGTGTGAAAAAGGCTAAGAGTGTCGGTCGTGCTAGATCACTGAGTTAGCTCGAGAGCAAGTAAGTTCAAGATAAGATCTCAGATGTTCGAGAGAGAGCCCTTCCTTTCAACTAGGGGGCTCTTATATAGGTGTTCTTGTCAAATCGGGCGTAATCGCTACTGGGCTTCTATCGCAGCCATTATCTGCCAGGGCTGCGCAGGTAACCGTTGCAGGGTACTACCCAATCGGATGGGTGACACGTCCCGGGAGGACAGGCACGCCACCATCTGTCGAGAGATGTGGACGTAGTCTGTTGAATTGGTAGGGACTGCGCCATCGGTTAGGAGACGTGACGCAGTCTGACAGGTACGGTCTTGTTAGATAGAAGCTTCCTAAAAGCATTAAGTCTCTTAGCGGCGAGCTACCTTGTAGCGAGCTATTCCGTCACGTAGCGGGCTATCCTATCACGAGCTACTTTGTAGCGAGCTCCTTGGGGTACTTTGAGGTGACCCCTCTCAAGGTTGCCTTTGGGGCAGTTTTTCTGCCTAAGTATTGAAGCGAGCTGGTTATCCTAGCTCGCGAACTGGGATAGACTTGTCTCGGAGTATTCCCTTTCAGTAGAGAGCTCACGTTGTAGCGAGCTCCCCCTATAGCGAGCTATGGGGTAGCGAGATGCCCTGTGGGCTGGTCACTTAGTCGTGGTCAGGCTGTGGTGCTGAGCTGTTGCTCGTGTTGAGTCATGTCCACGTGTCGTCGTCTCAAGGGGTCGGGTCAAATCATCCTCCATCACTTTTTATTCAAATGTTCATTTTTTATGTTTTCACATGAAAATTACACTTATATGAAAGATTTTATTGATTATGCTTAGTGTAATGTGTAGCTAGTAAGCAAATACAACTTATAAAATATTTTAAGTCCTCTAGGAAGTATATAAATCTGTAGATTTTATATTTATAGATTCCATCGCCTAGGCATCGCCTAGTGGCTACGACGTCTATTCCTCAAAACAAGTGGTATGATGCATTCGTAGCTACTGCCTTCCTAATAAATAGACTACCTACTCCAACTCTTTCCATGGCTTCTCCTTGGTTGGAATTATTTGGCACACCTAATTACACTTTACTAAGGGCCTTTGGTTGCTCATGTTATCCATATCTGAGACCATACAGGCGTTCTAAGCTAGAATATCATTATGATGAGTGTGTTTTCATGGGCTATAGGTCTTCATCATAAATGTTATAAGTGCCTTCACTTACTAACGGGCTGATTGTATATCTCTCGTAATGTTATATCCAATGAAGGGAACTTTCCATTTGCTACTGCTTTTGCAGAGGAACCATCCTCTCCACTCATTGCACCCGTAATACTTGCCCCTCCCCCCACCACTTCGGCATGCTTTTAGCAAAACTCCCCTAGCACCGGTTGTAGCTCCACCCTCCTCTAAGATTACACCTCTCGCTGAACCACCTGAACCACCTTTCGCTGAACCACCTCCAACTGCAGTTGTTGCTCCCTCTCTTGATAATGCTCCTCCTATGCTCTCCACTCACCCTATGGAGACTTGGTCCAAGCGTGGGGTTTTTAAACCAAATCCATGCTATGCATTACACACTAGCACACTCACTAAGACAGAGCCAAGCTGTTATTCTCAAGCCCAAAAAGACCCTCGGTGGGTCCTATCCATGGTAGAAGAGTATAAAGCTTTACTATCCAATAACACTTGGACGTTGTTTCCTCCCCCTCCCAACAAGAACATTATTGGCAACCGTTGGGTCTATAAATTCAAGAGGCGGTCAGATGGCACTATTGAGCATTTCAAAGCGTGTCTTGTCACTAAGGGATACACTCAAGAGGTGGGTGTGGACTGTGATGAAACATTCAGCCCCATTGTGAAGCCTACCACTATCCGCACTATGCACTCTCTTGCACTCTCTTATAACTGGTGTGTTCATCAACCGGATGTTAGTAATGCCTTTCTACATGGTATCTTGACTGATGAAGTGTATAGCAGCTAGTTGGGTTTGTTGGTCCCTGTTACCCTTCCTTTGTTTGTCGCCTAAATTTCAGTTTATATGGGCTCAGCAAGCCCCACGGACATGGTTCACTAGACTACGTGATTACCTTCTGGCCTTGGGGTTTATGAATCATAGGCTGATCCCTCTCTTTTTCTTCGACGCACTCAGGATGAAACTCTACTCCTCCTTGTTTACATTGATGACATTCTGGTTACGGGCTCTAGCTCCACTTCTATTTCCTCTCTTATAGCTGACTTAGCATCTCAATTTACCTTGCAGGATCTTGGGCCAGCACATTATTTCTTAGGCGTTGAACTAACTCTCTCTTCCTTTGGCCTCCATTTGTCACAACACAAATATATTGTCGATCGGTTAGTTCCCGCTCAAATGCATGAAGCCAAACCGTCTCCTACCCTAATACCTGCCAACACAAGACTTCACTCCTCACAGGGTGATCCTCTCCTTGATCCATCATTCTACAAGAGCATTGTTGGTGCACTCCAACATGTAACATTAACTTAGCTAGACATTTGTTTCTCCGTAAATAAAGCCTTCCAATTTCTCAAAGATCCCACCATTGTTCATTGGGCGGCTGTCAAGCGAATCCTTCGTTACTTGAAAGGTACTATCTCACATGGACTGTCTCTTCGCCACTCTAAATCCCTCAATATCATCGGTTTTGCTGACATGGATTGAGCGAGTTGCTCAACTGATAGACGTTCTCAAAGTGGCTATTTCATATTCTTGGTTCTCAATCTTGTTTGTCGGAGCTCAAAGAAGCAAACTATTGTCTTTCATTCAAGTACAGATCCTGAGTATCGGTGCCTTGCCTCTACGGCTGTCAAAATCTCCTGGATAACCATGCTACTCTCTGAACTTGGAGTGAAGCTTTCCCCGTCACTATTTGGTGTGATAACATGAGTTCCAAGTCCTTAGCCTACAATCCTATCCAGCATGCTCACACCAAACATATTGAACTTGATGTTCATTTTATTAGAGACATGGTCGCTAAGAAGCTGCTCTTTATAAACTATGTACCCAGCAATGACCAACTTGCTGACTTACTTACTAAACCACTTCCATCTACCTAGTTTACTCATCTCAAGGACAAGTTGACTATTGGTCCACCCCTGTCCAGTTTGAGGGGGGATGCTAGAGATAACCGCATGCCATCCGTAACATTAGTCAATAGTTAGAGATGGAAAAGGCCATAGTCGAGTATCTTTGTACATATTCAGGTTTGATATAGAGGTTTTAGCGTTCTTTCCGTAATCTGTATGATCAAACCAATTGAGGTGGAAGATAACGAATAATGGTGCAAAATCGCCACCAAAGTAAATTCATCATTATTGGGGCTTGAGAGCTTGATTTCACCGTTTCAGGAGAAATCCAATTGAAGACCACTCTTGGCAGCTTTCTAAACATCTAAAATAGCTGCAGCAGAGAGAAAACTCAAAACGGAGATTGACAAACCTTTTGTCAAACACCTTGTCGATGCCATCTATGCCTTCGTCTCTGTCTCCATTCCTCTTCAGCAATTCCAACTCCACCGTGAGTCTAAGCAGAAGTAGCAGCAGGTCACTCATCAACCGTGGCCATCCTTTATTTATCTGTGTTTTGTGTGGTAGCCTTTGCAAATGATTCCCACAGAAAATGAACTTGTTCAATAGTTCTTCTTACTAGTGTTTAACTATTGTCCCGAGGATGGTTTTTTGAGGATGAATGCTTCTAAATTTCTCAAATCTTGCTTCCTCTTCTTCTGAGGTCGGTTTTCCGCGAAGATTTTTTTAGGTCAGTTTTTGTGAGAAAGGTCGTCACAAAATTTCTCAAATCTTGCTTCCTCTTCTTCTAGCATTGGCTTGTAGTTTGTGGCAGAGGATGATTGGTTTTTTGACTAACTCCACCCTTATTGGGTTGGATTTTGAAAATTTGAGGAATAATAGAGGATAAATTTGATATTTCTTTGCTTTTCCTTCATACTTAATGATTATTTCAATTGTTAGAAATAACAAAGGTACTTTAAGATAATATGTAAACAGTAAGAGTAGAATTAGTCAAATAACTAAACCATAAGGGTAGTTTAAGAAATTTTCCCTATTTTAAATAACACATTTGATATAAGAAAGAAGAGTCGATCAATTCAGGATTAATTCAGTTTGTAGGAAAATGTAGGAAAAAGAAGGGAAAGGAAGAGAAACCTTGTATAGACTTTCCTGCCTTTTCCTTCCTTTCCCTACTTTTTCCTTCAAACCAAACATAGCTTCAAGTTTCAAGGTGTTGATACATGTGATATGAAAAAAAATTGTGTATTGCACAATTCAAAGGGGCACTATACTTTGATTTTTATTTTTAAGTTTCAAGAATTGAGCCATGACATCTCTAAGAAGGGCATTGCCCCTCAAAAATGGTCATGTGTCCTAATTCCCAGTATTTAGTGTATCTGTGTATTCAAAAACTGATACGTATCGATACTTTGAATCGATACTTTTGAACCTCGAATCAATTGAACCCAAGAGTTTGTAGGGCGCTTGAAATGCGGTTAGCACCATAGCCCTCTTCTAAAAATACTATGTTAGGGCTTTCTTGTGGAACCACATCTTCCCGTTTATAACTCTCTTCCTCAATGCGAAGGAGCTTTTCACTTCCATTCTCTACACAACCTCTCAAAATCAGGGTTTTGTGGAGGCCCACAAGCAGATCTTCATAGTCTGTGTCTCCTTTCTCTCCTACAAATACTGCTACTTTGGACATATCAATACCCCACCGAATTGAAAGGTACCTGTAATGCACATCAAGTAGAAGTGGTTTTTTATCAGTGAATATAACTGCTTATTATGTGAAATTTAGGGTTGAGCTGGGCTAGGTGTTTATTTTGCATTTTTAGGCCCATATTTCATACTTGGGCCCAAAGTTCATATTTATTGAAGTTTTGCAACCTAGCTAGTTGGCTTCTAGGCTGGACATGAAGCTCACACTACATCTGAGCTGGGCTCAGTGGGAAGCTCAGGCATTTCAGGAGGGGATCGTTTAACAGGTGAAGTGACTGAATGAATGACTGAGATTTATCACTGTCTTTTGGTGAAAAGCCTACCAAAAGTGCTTTGAGTGTTTGGTAACAGTTGCTTTTAAAAATATTATAATTTAACTTTGTGCTTTTGGGCTTTAAAAGCGCAAATCCTGAAGTTTGTTCACACACAAATGTTACATCCAAATGCCATATATCATATTTGATTAATACTTATTTGCATACATGCATTGCACATGCTCTTACACTAGTGCTATTAAGAAGGTTGTGAGCTACTTAATGGGTGAAGCTATTCAAGTTGGGGTAATTACTATATGCTCGGGTATTATATTTTTTAATTATTTTATGCACTATAAGACAAAAAAAAAAAAACGTTAAGGGTTCCTTTGTTTCATAGTAGGAATTGTAATCAGAATTATTTATTCCTTCACCTGTTTTATTCATATGACAATCAGAATCAAAATGAAATTGGCTGAAATGGATTCTAATTCCCAAGGAGGAGGAGGGGGT